GCACAAAGGCATTTAAATTTGTCCCTATTTTGTCATTGATGATCCTTATAGCTCTGGGATTTATGTTTAAGTTTTGAGAACTTATATAGATTTAAACAATATTTATTCCCTTTCTGTCACTTCTTTTGAACACCCACACTTACGATGTTTTGATAATGTATCATTTAAGTAAAGTTCAACTGCTTTTCTCAAATTTTTGGTCTAGCATTATCATGTTTGAATTCACCTGAAAACAGAAGAAATGGCTGATGTTGATTGAAATGTTCTAAAAATTCCAGTTAATTATATTTGGCGTAGAAGGCTATTCAAGCCTCCTATGTCCTTTCTACTTTTTTGGTGAACTTTTTCTATTAATGTATCAACTGTGTGGTAGAAAGAGAGTTTAAACCTATGCTTCTGTTTGTCCTTTTGAGTGTTGAAAGTTAAAGTGTCACACGACTTATCAATCCATTGTTGATTGTTGACTCACAGATTATCAGACATAATCACAATAAACTTACAAAGACTGGAGTACTTTTATATGTAATTACACTTTTAAAAGAGTGGTTATGTTGCAACTAGAGATTGGTTGTGAAAATCTGAGTTTGCTAGAAATCACTGAGACCACTATGTGAAAACTAATTGACTTGGAAACGATAATAATATTTATTTCATACTTTTATTATTTATAAATTATGATAATAAAATTTAAAATAAAGTTTCTGTATGCATGTCTCTATATATATAGATACATAAATATATGATTTTAACATTTAACAGTGATATTTTCGTCAATTTTGTTTCATTTCCTTTAATTTACTGCTCAATGATTTGCAAAGTTATTATAATTTTCCTAGATAAATGTATAACAAGCCATAATATATATAAATCTTTAGATATGTATATAGGTTTATGTATAGATAAATGGATAAATTAGAAAGAGACAGACTTGGCTATAAAAATTGACAAACACATAATTATTTTTGTCCATATGCATTGATGGATCTCACACTTACCACAATACTTTCGATAAGAAATGAGAAGCACGTATTCAAAAAGGTACAGAATTAGCACAAAATATTGAAAAATTAAAACCTTTAGAGAGGAAAATAAAATAACAGAAAGTCCCAAAAAAGAAAATGTAAATCCAAGATATGTAAGAACAGAGTCCACTATACCTCTCAATTTCAACTGAAGTGATTAGAAAATTAAAAATATAATAATATTAAATACATTTAATATTTTTGCAGAGACATGATGGCACAAAAAATCATATATGTGTTTTAGAAATTCATACTGTTATAGCACTTGTCAATTTTTCCATAATCTTCACTGTAACTGTTTCTGTAAGACATTGGTAAAAGGAATCTTTTTTTCTGAATGAGGAAGAAAGTAGAGTAAACATAATTTGAATGAAAGTTTAAGAAAAAATAGCATATTGATAGCTAATTAAATTATTTTCCTTGCACACGTAATGTTTGTGCATGAAGAAGATAAAGTAGAAGTAAATACATGAATAATAAGTATAGTGATTTTCTAAACATATGTTCTTATAGATGTAGAACTTATTATCATTATGAACTTCTTAAGAATGGTTCTACATCAATGTGGGGATTGTGCGAAAATGATTAAACACATACACTTCCCATACCCCAAAACATTGCAAAATAGATACTATTGTACAGCCTTGACTGATAAACACTGGATACAATTTAAGTATCATCTGAATCCCAGTAGCTTTGAAAGCTTTGGAAGATAGAAAGCACATGACTGGTATTGTCTAAATAATCATAGAAGAAATAGGAATTCATGATAGCAAAGACAAGTGAGACTTTTTTCCGAGGAGCCTCAGATGAATTCCATGCTCATATTAGCAAATTAAGAGTGGAATAGATATGAGCCAACAATCAGTAGAGTTCATTAAAGGTGTAGCCTGGTGATGGTATGCAGGCCTCATAGGAATAGCAGAGCCAGATATGTAGTAGCTTGCATATTCATACACACACATAAATCAAAATACCTACAAATATTAGAAGCACAGTTAACAATATTGATATGACACTGTTCACCAAATAACATAGGATGATAGTAATAAACCCAAAAATATACATGAAAAAGAGAAGCACAATAGGTTAAATAAACTCTTTCCCCAAAAGAGCTTACTTCATTTCTCTTGTGCACTAGAAAAATACGTCTTTTGTAATTTCTTGATGATGACTTTTATTTAGGTTTTGATTGCTGCCCAGAAAGAAATGTATTCAGCAAGTATTTGCTAATAAACACAGGCATCCTTACCTATGTAATCTTCACCTATATGAAGACTATCACCAATGCTGGTGGGTAAATATAAAATGATAATTGGACCAATGAGATAAAATTTGAGTAAAGAGAAAACAAAACCTGGAAGAAAGGGAATTTGAATGCAGTTGTGAATGGGAAATAAAGCAATGTTGATTATGCTAGGCATAGAGTTTGATGTACATCTCAGATTTGAGTCTCTTTATAGCTGACATTTATTTGAGAAACACCTTTTCAGTAAGGTCTTAAAGGCCTGTTTTACCTGTTGGTTCCTTAGGGAGTAAATGAAGGGATTTAACATTGGAGCCACAGAAGTATTCAGCACTGCTACGCCTTTGCTGAAAGCAAGTCCTTCTTCTGCTGAGGTCTTTACATACATGAAAATGCAGCTTCCGTAAGAAATGGAGACAACAAACATGTGCGAAGAACAGGTGGAGAAAGCCTTTTTTCTCTGTTCAGCAGAGGGAATTTTCAGAATTGTTCTAAGAATGAACGCATAGGAAAGAATTACCAGTGATAACGTACATATAAGAGCAATATTGCAATGATAAATCCCATCAGCTGTAGGTACGCTGTGTCCGTGCAGGAGATCAGCAGCATAGGAGAATAGTCACAGACAAAATGATCAATGACGTTGCAGTCACAGAAATCCAGTTGGAGCCCCATGATCACAGGTGGGAAGATTATAAGAAACCCAACAACCCAAGAACCAACCACAAGCCGGATGCAGAGTCTGCTGCTCATGATTGTTGTATAATGCAATGGCTTACAGATAGCCACATAACGGTCATAGGACATAACAGTCAGGAGAAAAAATTCTGTTGAACCAAGGAGAATGAAGAAAAAAACCTGGGCCAGGCAAGCATGATAGGAAATGGTCTTGTCTCCTGTAAGAATGCTGACCAAAAATCTAGGAATACAAACTGTTGTGAATGAGATTTCCAGAAGGGAGAAATTCCTAAGGAAGAAATACATGGGACTTTTGAGGTGGGAATCAACCAGAGTAAGAATGATAATCGTCAGGTTTCCAGTTATACTCAGTATATATGTGAAAAATAAAAACAGAAAAATCAAAATGTTGATGTCTGGGTCATCTGTTAATCCCAGTAGAATGAACTCTTTCACAGAAGACTGATTTTTCATATCTTAACATGTGTGTCTGCTATATCTACAAATAAAAAATAAAAGCAACAGCAACTGATTCCAGTGTTACCTTTTTGTCATTTCTGTTAGATAAAAAAATAAATAAATAACATGTGAGACCTACAATGATACAATAGATCAACTACTCATTTGTATTACATTCTGAAAATATATTTGAACTATAAAATTAAATTTATATCTGGTATGTACAGTCAGGCCAGTTTTACTGATTCACTTTTTAAATTTAAATAATATAAACCATAACATCAACTCTGATTATTGGTAACTGCATACATGTCTGAATGCAACATTATAGATTACTTTATTTTAAAAGTGATTCTAAGAACCAAAGTTAAGATTTGACTTAGTTACAAGTTGATTAGCAAATGGAAACATAAGTAAGTAAAAATGAAGCTTACACTTACATTTTTATAATTCCTTTTTGTGGCAGTTTTACAATCAAATTATAATACCTTGTTAATTTGCTATAAATATAGGCCAGTGTTTGATGCTTCACTTCAATGTACTGTCTCTTAGTCTTTCCAATTGCTATTGACTGATTTTTCACCCAATGGCACATTTACAAGATAGGTATGTTTTGGCAAGGTAATTTTGGGTATGAACAGTGAGATGAGCATACAGCTAAAATGTGACCAACAGAAAGCACAGTGCTGAAAAGAGGAGACACAGTAAAAAAAAAAAAAAAAAGGACATAGGTCTAGTCACTGGGAAAAGGTTTTATATCAAGAGAAGAAGCCAAGAGATCTTGAGACTTGTGATCCAGAAACGAGGTGATACCCAGACAAACATCTGAATGCCTCACATTGTAGTAAAGCTCAGTGGGCGTTCAAGCAAGTAATCCATCACTATTACGTAAAAATTGAAGTTCAGGGAGCATTGCTAAGCTTTCCATTGTGACACAGTGTCATTGGTACTAATTTTTGGTTTAAGTTTAAAGCCATAGCCAAAGGTCTTGGAAATGAAAGACCAGAAATTAATGTAGCTCTCTCCTAGGTTTGCATTTAACTAAAGACCAGGCATGCAGAATGAAAAAAACTGAAGCTTTCCAGGTAGGTAGGGATCTTAGGAAAGGAAGAAAATAACAGATTCATTGTTATCAAGCTCAGGAAAATTTTAGTAATACGTAAATAGAGTTGAGAATATGCGTGGGTGTGTGTGTGCATCTGTGTATGACTGATTATTAAGTGAATTTTTTTAGTTTGTAACAAGGAGAGAAATTAATCCATGGATAAATATAAAGCTAATAACAATAGCTATGGGAAACAGAGAAGTGGCATGGCCTTGAATAAAAACTCATGAGGGAAAAAAAAGAAAGCTGAAAATGCAAAGAACATTAAACATATACAATCCAAGACAATTATTCAATATCGCTAATCTAAAATTTCCTCTAACTATAGCTAATTCTCAGATCCTTGATGTTTAGAAAGCCTACCTAATATTGGATTTTACTTGACTGAGTAAATCTTGTGAAAGTAAAATGATCTTTAATATGTTTTTTTCTGACGACTCCTACCAAGTAGAGAATTTATCCTATATACTGTTTCCAACACAACAAGTTGTTTTTATCGCTTATTTTTTCAAAATAGTCACAGGGGAGTCTTGTGGGCAAACAAAACTAAAATGTCTCTGGAGAAAAATGGTGCTGATGAGGTGTCCTTAATTTACATTGAAATTTAATTAGACACTTTGGAAGTTAATTTTATACATTACTTTTCAGAGAGATATAATACAAACATCAACGAAGGAATTAAATCAAAGTATTGTCATTGAATTTATTTTTCAGCGTTATTTTATTTTAACCTGAAATAAATGTCATGTGAATGAAATTATTCAATCACAAATAAAAGTGTTGAAGAAAATAACAGAACAAGCAACATTATATCAGACATCATTAAAATTTCATTAATAAAAATAAAGAGTACCTATTCTTGATAAACATCAAGATTAAATAACAGAAAAACTGTAGCATCAATATAAAAGAATTAAAATTAATTTCACACTAACAGTATGTTTATTTTATGTGAGAAAAGAACATAATTAGTTTGTGCACTCTATAATACTTACCGATGTTACTAGACAGTTCAGAACATGCTTCCTTTCCACCTACTAAAGCATTTGCTTCTCATTTTTTCTCCTACCCTTATACTGTTATGTGTGGATGCTATTTTTCTTATAGTTATTTATTTTGTATTATATAAGATTTCTCAGAGCAGAAAATATTATGGCGCATGGACACATTCGTAAGTGATTTAGGTTGATACGGTTCTTTCAACAGAGCTTTCTCCTGTTGCTTCCAAGAAAGAGTGACTTAAAAAAATTACAGTGTTCTTATCTCCATCTTCCTACGATAACGCAAACATTATGTTTCCGTGGCTCATCTTCTTCTTCTCTCACTACCAGGCTAAGTTGTTGCAGATGAACTTTATCTTGACCACGACCCTCAATTCTTAAAGTCCGTGTCTCTGGAATATCTCCTCCCTCTGAGCCTGGGCAGGATCTGGAGTTGACTCTAACACAATGTTGCTAATATAATTCTAAAATGTTGCAATGATGATGTGCTGTCATTCTCTTCATTACGTTTCCTTACACGAGACTTATAATAGACTTTCTCTAGAATGTTTCTCTCCCTTGGCCATTTTTAAGAAACGAGTTGCCATGAATTCTATAACCAGAGGTAACTAATTGTGTCGAAACCCTGGGCAAAATGAGAAGTGAACTTCTCCTAGTTAAGCCTGCAGATGAAGATTCAGCCCTCATGAGATATTAAGGTTTTGTAGAACACCTCGCTAAGAGTTACCCAGGATCCTGACTGATACAAAATATGATATAAGAGATGTATGTTTCTTTAATGTGGTAACTTTGTGGTACTTTGTTACAGAGTATTGACAACTAATATATACGGTAACTCACTTTGACTTAGAAGTGAAGGACTTTATGTAAATTAGCTGACACCTCATACATTTTCCAGTCCTTTTTCTTTGGGTTTCCAAAATATTGGCAATCTGATGCATAAAATACATACTTTAAAGATTTAATGAGACCTTTGTCCTTTTGATGTGGGATATCATTAATCTTATCAGATTTCATTAAGTGGGCTTCTGGTATTTGGTAGTAAAAATAAAGGGAGATTTTACATTTTTTAAAAACCACAATAGAGATATTAAAATATTTAAAAACCTACATCGAGGGTTTAAATGCATACTGATTTTGTCTGGGTACACTTAAGGTCATATTCAATAAAGAAACCATTGAATGTGGTTCCATTTTAATTTTCACTGGGTTTTCCCCAGCAACTTTAAGTGTGTATGTTGAAATCTTTTGCACTTGAGAATACTCTGACAGTTTGTACTTGGATGCCTGTAAACAGGGTACAAGTTCAGGAGCCCTGGTAATACCGTAGGTTCAAGGTTGTGCTGCTACAGGAGTCCTCTTTTAGAAAAATTCACAGGCCCCCGAAACCATAAGGAGCAGTTCTAATTCTGCTGTCTGGTCTCTATGAATTGAAATCCACCAGACAACAGTGAGGGTTTCTTTTTTTTTTTTAATGTTATTGCTTTGTCTTCTACCCAATGCACACCTTTTTAAAATTATGAAATAGAGATTTGAATGAATACCTACTAGTTCTTTTTAAAATTAAAAAATTCAGCTTCTAATTTCATCAATTCATATTATTCCATCTTTTCATTTCCCAGAATGAACTGAAATAATTAGTTCTCTGATAGTCCCATTCCTATTCTCTTATTCAATTTGTGTACACTTAACATCATTTATAACCATTTACTATGTAGGAATATAGTACAGCAAGCTATATATTTAAAGGCATGTGATGTGATGTGGTGTCTGTAGGGTTTTTCTTGCTACTGTAGACATACTAAATGCTCATGTCTACATGTCACCTGCAGGAGTGAGATTATAGAGGCCTGATTCACACAGAGGAATTCTATAAACAGAATTATTTGCTGCCGGCTTTAAAGTAGGCCCTAAGAAAACATACTACAATTCACTAATTAATGAATTGGAAAAATAGACACGAAAGATATATGAAGTGTTGTTCACATTTTCTGTGGTTAATTCTATGAAATAAGTATATAAGGAGGCTTCAAAGATTTTGGGAAAACATTCCATTACCTTTTAATTCTATTGTTTCATAACAAAGCCCTCTTGCATGTGTGGGCATGCGGGCAGTGGGTATCAGCTCTGGCATGAAAGATTGAGCACGATGATATGTGGAACCTCTAGAAGTCATTTCAATCAATGTTTGCATTTTCACCATAACTTATTTTCTTTAAACAACTAAATATTAACTTCCTTCGATCTAGAGTAGTGGTTCTCAATGTTCCTAATGCCGCACCTCTTAAACACAGTTCCACATGTTGTGTGAACCCCCAACCATAAAATTATTTTCATTGCTACTTCACAACTGTAATGTTGCTAGTGAACCTGGAGACCCCTGTAAAAGGGTCGTTCGAAACCCAAAGGGATCGCGACGCACAGGTCGAGAATCCCTGATCTAAAGGTTCTCCTCTCATTTAAAACTCAGTAATATATATTGGCAGTGATAGAAAGCACAGATTTTTGACACGTGATAAAATGACAACAAAAATCCCAGTAGTAAAGGAGAATAAATTCACAGGACAGATTCAGAAGGAATGCTATGTTAACTCGGAATCCTACTTTACTGGAAGCAAAAACAAACCAGAACCTAATCTCCACACTAGCACAGTACTCATCCAGGAGGAGTCGTTCAACTTTGTTTTCTAATCAGCACAGGAGTTTTGGCCTCCTCCATTTCCAACCTGGGCCAGTTCAGCCCCTTTTAAACAGCCTGGTGGTCCCCTGCTCTGGGAAGTCACCATATTGTTGCCCAACTTAGTGTGGGGGACACACTAAAGGCAGAACGCACTACAGCCCAGAAGTCCTCCGGCCTCCACCTCCTGAGTCTCTGGGAATACAGGCTCCCACCACCACGCCTAGCTTTC